GTTATCTTTAATTTTATTTTAGCCCATAAAAAACCAGACATCTGTCAGCCTTAGAAAACCAGTTTCTCATTAAATAATAAAATTTCTTTTTAGAGTTTCACCTATAATTTTATAACAGTTTTCTCTTATTTTTCGAGTTCTACGTTTATAAGCACGTATTCACTTAGATTCAGACGTCTATCAATCATATTTCGTTGCTATTTGTTATTGTGAAAAATTGACAACTTTATGCTTAATAAACACTTACAAAACATCATCATATTAAGAAGTAAATGACTTAATCAATAAGCAAATTTTGTTATGAACTTAATCTTAAGGTTTATATTTGTTATATTATAAAATTAATACAAATAAAATATTAATTTTATTTTATTTTGTCTTTGTGTTAATTGAAGAAGGCAACAAGGGTGTGAGTCCAAAAGCCAAATGTTAATGTAAAAAAGCCAAATTCATTGATTTGATTTTGGGTCAGAAATTCAACTCATAAATCCAAAAATGAAAACCATTAACAAAAATTAAGATCAAGTGTATGAGTCTCCATCATTTAAATAATATTTTAAAGCATATATCTCAATAAATAATTATGCATCAAAATAATTCACATTGACTTGTATATATACTTGGAATTATGTGAGACCAGTATATTTTTGTGATATCCGTAAGATTACTTTTTTACATTTGAAATTTCACAGCAAAACTCTGTGAAGGTAAGATTTACGGTGTTTTTGCTGTGAAAGTTCGGCTTCTTTTTACATTTATAGCGTTTTGCTGCGAAGTTGAAGGGTAAAAAAATGGTCTCACGGGTCTCAAAAAAACAAGTTGGTCTCACGTGAACCCAACTATATATATATATAGTCCATTCAAGATAGAACTGATTAGTTTGTGATAACTGTGAGATTCAATCTCAAACAAACTAATATTTTTGGTAATTTAACTTAAAATTATAATTAAATGGCATTTTATGTACTTTAATTTTTTTATCTCTCCTCTCTCTCTCTCTCTCTCCTACTTTCGGCCTCCGACGAACATCATATGATATCCAAAATACATCAAGATACACAATTTGATACCCAAAATACATACAATATGACACTCAAAATACATCAAGTAAACTTTGAGACCACTATGATACCAAATGTGGTGCCACTGTGATACCAAATGTGGTACCACTATGATACCAACTATGGTACCACTTTCACATGTGAGTGTTTAGTGGTCGATCATTGAAGACGACGTCTTGGTCAAACAAGATGATCAGAGGAGGTCACCAGAGTGGTGGTGCATGCCGGAGAAGGCCACTGGATTTGGTCCATGTGTGTTCATGTGTGTGTGTGTATATATATAGGTAATTGGAATGTTAAACTAATTAAAGTAAATTAAATAATCAACACAATTTACTAATTTATCTTTTGTTTTATTTTAGTAAATAACATTAATTATCTAAAATGATTGACTCATATTAGACTTCACAGTTACCACAAACTATCTAGTTTTCATTTGATCAGACTCAAATATATATATATATATATATATATATACTTGGGATCATGTGAGACCAGCCTGTTTTTGTGAGACCCGTGAGACCAGCATTTTACACGTAAACTTCACAGCAAAAATGCTGTGAAGGTGACTTTTTAAAACCTTCACAGTGTTTTTGCTGTAAAGGTTCGACTTTTTTTAAACCTTCACAGTGTTTTTGCTGTGAAGTTTACGTGTAAAATGCTGGTCTCACGTGAACCCAACCCTATATATATATATATATATATATATATATATATATATATATAATATTATGTCCTTGTGATTTGTGAAAAAATAACATTTTTCGTTACTACAATTTCGAAACTACAAGATGGTTATCATGGTTAAAAACCGTTCGGATTTGATCCTTACTTTAACGACTGTTAAAGAATTTCATTAAATAAGAAATATTTAGTTCTTTTATGCTCTTTTGTCTTTTACCCAATCAAAATCGATTTTATGATTTTGCTTCATATATTTTTTGATCAGGTAAAAGACAAAAAGTTGATCAAAGAGCGAAAATCCTTCTCATTGAACAAAATTTTAACGGTCACTTGAATCCTCACGATTTTTCAAGTCGACGAGCCGTATGCAATGCATAAAAGATGCCCATACTGTCGTGTATCGTTGATTAATGTAGCCTCAGATATGATGGAATCAAATCCGGTTCCGATATTTATTTCTTAACTCTTATCAATTTATGTAATGTAAAAGAGAACAATTTGAATATTTGATCTTTTATCTGCATCATTTACTAAAACAGTGATTTCATTATTATCTATTCTAGCAAAACGTAGGGTCGTAGCTACGAGTGCTACAGACGATCTAACGAGAGAAATGGACGTAATTGATAGGGGGCTGTTTGGCAATTGCTGAATGATTTAATGCAGAATGATTAAGTGATCAGAATAATTAAGAGGCTTTCATAATATAGTGCAAAATGAAATATAATTGCTTGGTAATTGTGTACAATAAAATCAGGACTTTTAATGGTTAAGAGAGATCCATGATACAAAATCATTCAAAGGGTTTTAGAACCATTAAGAAACATATTTTTTTTTTGCCAAACAAGATTCACCTCTTGACGATTCAGATGTTGTCTCTTAATGAAACTATTAAAAGGTAAACAAATAACCGCGTAGACCAAATTCGAAGTTTACTCTTTATATTGATTTATTAAACCGAAAACTAGCACTAAAAACAATGTATCAATATTTTCATTTCTAATCCTTTACATAATTTCATTTTTAGCCCTTATAATTTCTATAATTTGTTACTTTTAACCTTTTTATATTTCTCTATTACACCTTTTACTTTTATAGTTCCTATTTTATACCATAAGTATATTTTTATTAATTAATAATACATTAATTAAAATACATATCTATACTATATTATAAAACATTTAAGTAAAACTCTTGAAAACATTTTTAATGCATCAAGTACTATTTAATGATGCATATTACTTAAAATTTAAGATTACACGTAAATGGTGCATGGACACAAATTTTTAGAGCTATTAATGTATCCTATTGTAAAAAACACGTGTTGAGAGGATAACAGTGGATATGTCCGCAACAGTAAGCACGTTAAACTTGCATTATACTAAGAATGTGTAGCACCACGTTGTACCTGGAAGCAATTATAACGCGTATTTTAGGCATATTCATCCAGTGCTGAAGTGATGCAAACACACCCTTTTGAAAGAAATTCAATGTCTCCCAAACACGTATGTACTGAATGGATGCTTGTCCAGGGTCTAATATTATAGCAGACCAACGTTTTTCGTAAGTCATCGCAGGTGAGTTTTCATGGCAACAAGGGTTTTAACAACGTATAGATTTGAACTCGGAACAGATGAGATTTTTCACTGTATTTCTTGGAGGTTTAAAGAGTACGCCATAACCCGATTAGTTATTATATAAATATAATGAGATTGTGTATGGTTAAAGAAAGGTCCAATACATGGATGGAAAAGGAGACCATAAGTCAAGGGATCAGAAATGGAGAGAATACCAACATCACCATTTTCAAACCTCTACTACCCCTACAAGGTATAGTCTCTTCTATCCCTCATTTACTTACCTGCTGCCTAAACCCCCCACC